CAGAGTATATAAATAATTTGTCGATATTTCAAAAAAAAAAAAAGCTATTTAAAATGTTAAAAAATTAATATTAATAATGCATATAAATAATTGTCTCATTTAGTCAATAAATTAATTAAATCTAGCAGTCGATTCGATAAAAACAATTTATAAATCAATATATGGTTCATGCTCTTCTATTTTATTCTTTTGAAATCTTGTATTTTATTGATATTTTAGCTCGCAATATTTCCTATTAACAATAATAAAATCTTAAAAATTACTATTCCTCTTAACTCGACAATCCAAAACTTTATATCTTCAAATTCGATGGTCTGTACAGCTCGACTATTTATCCGTTTTATCTTATATTTGCCGTCATGCCAATATCAGAGAGAATGTAGTGGGTGTCAAGATGGAAATCTTGATATCGCAGCGCGATAGTCGGCCAAAACATTTCGGGCGGTCACGAACGGACAGCGAAGGCAAAACGTATAAAACGCGAAGACAGCGATCCCGAGGCTCAGGGTGTTTCACTAGCGCGATACTCTGCACTCTTCGAATAGCTCTCTTCTTGCTCACGAGTGCGGAGGTCTTCCAAGTTCCACCGAGCCGCCTAACTGGGGATGGGATGGAACGTACTTGGTGGATACGGGACAGGAATGGTAGCCACATTAATAAAACATTAAGGTTTTGTAGACGATGTATCGATGTAGTGTTTATATTATCTTCTTTGATGTCGACATGTGAATTGGACAGATTTGTTATTCAGACTCCGTACGTAAAAGTGCTGAAGTCTTGCTCTGCTCCGTTTGTGGACAGGGCGGGTATCGACAACTCGGACATCGATGGACGGACGAACAAACAGACGGAACGAACGAACGTGAGCGCAGATGGATAAACGTGAACGGCCTGTTTCAAGTTTGCGCTGGGTCCCTACCCTCCCTGTCAGACAGCCAGTAACATAGAAGAGGAGTCTTACCCGTAGTACGCAGATAACTCACTGCTTACTTGGTCTGTCGGCGTATACAATATTTTCAAAATCATTTTCTCAATCATCGATTTACTTATTTTCCTATTTTCTCGAAATACATAACATTGAGAAGGGATATATCGTAACGGGACGTTGAACGAATTCTTATTAAAAAAAAAAAAAAAAAAAAAAAGAAGAAAGTCAAAATGCATTTATCAGAATCGACAACGCAAAAGGAGGACCTTCAACGACAAAGTCGGTTGTTTTTGCAAATGATAAATTTATAAGCAATGAAGTTTCTTTACGACTTCCTCCGACTTCGTTTTTCGTTGCTAAACGTTTCTATGTCGAATTACATCCGACATGATTGCTCGATAAATCCCACACCTTGAACAAGACTTAATTTCACAATAGGCGACCTACGCGCACTCATTTCTCGGAGCCGCGTGGTATCGACATTCTTCGCGATGTCGTGCTCGGGGCTCCGCGGTCCCCCCCCCCTCCCCGCCCCTCTACGCGCCACACGGTACTGTGATCCCGAACCTTGACTCTTCATTAATCACCCCGTGGTATCAATGACTGACTGAGTGACTGACGGCAGGCGAGAGGTATTATATACCTACGGTGTTCGCGCGAAAGCTGATGCTCGTCGTGGGGATCTTTCTCGTCTCTGATAGACTGACGAGAGAGCCTTGTCTGAAAACTTTTCTGTGCTTTCTCCTTTCCATTTCACATATAGCTTAATAGCTTATTCGAGAAAGTTACATTTTCTTGTCAATTTTCTTTCACACAAACTCTCAGTGCTAAACAGTATAACGCAGCGTTAATCGAATAAAGACGAGATTTGCTTTAATGCAATACATCGTTGAAATTTGCCGCTGTACGCAATTATGTGCACGAGCAGGGATAAGCGAGTTAATTATCGTGATGTCGAAGTACATTCAACTTAGGAATTCTAGAGAGTCCGTACTTATACTTTCTGATATAGAAGAGCAGTCTGATTTAATCGAGAGGTCACGACCTTACGGTAGGCTGGCGCCATAGCGCCTCTTTATACCAGTATTCCGTTACGTACTATACACCGAAAGTCACGGTTACCTTGCCGCACAGTCCCTAACAAAGGTGCACCTACGAAGCCAATCGAATACGCGTCGTCATCGTCGGTAGCTTAGACGATCTTAGTCGTTTGAGTGAGTCTTGTGACGGATCGTGACTTGCGTTAAGACTTGTTTCTTCTCTTGTTTTCTTGTTATATGACTCCTGTCCGCTTCGGTAGTTTTTGAGGGTGTGACTTTGCTTTATCACACACGCGACTCTCTGCTGCCGATACGCGATTCTTATCGGCAATCCTTTCCAGACTGAATAAAATGTGAACAAGCTGTCCGTGATCGACAGCGTGGATACACTTACGAATGTCAGCTGGATAATTAAATTTTGCGATTAAATCCCCCGAGGCTAATTAATTTTATACATAATTAATGTGATTTGAGGTCAGCGCCATTAATTAAAATTTGACTAATAATGTAGTTTTCCGCGGACGGTTTAATTTAGTACACATTTGCCTAATTAAAATAATGAAATGCGTTATTAAGTTAAAGAGAAATTTGTATCGCGGTTAGATAACCTCGCATGGTTATCACGCGCCGCAGTTCTTCAACATGAACGTTATCATGTTTCACGTTTGAGCAATAAAGCGCACGCGTTAAAGTATTGTATCAGCAATTATAAACATAATAATTATTGCGGCGCGTCGTAATTATAAATGTGTAGCATTGTCGGTCCGCTTCTCTTTGTTACCAGTTAGTGTAACGTACTATTTAACTAATTTGTAAAATAATTATATATTTAATATTTTTACACACCTTGTATTGAGAGCGTTATGAAAATCGATGATCAATTCTTTTGGTCTTAGAGGTTCCAAAAAAGAAATGTACGTCAATGATTTCTGTACGTCATACCATTTAATAATTACAATTTAAATTATATTTAATTATACGGATCTTACACGTACGGTGCTCTAGATTACGTAGATGTAATAAGTAAATATTTTTAGTTAGACTATTTTACGTATATTACATGGAATGAAATAACATTTGAGTGACGCTACGCGAACGTAATACTTGAGCTTAATTTAACTTGGAGAGAACGCACATCTTTGCACCTGACGAATAAATAGTAAATATCTGCAATTTCCATTTCGTCTCTTACTTCGCCAAACTGCGGGTACAGACTACGAACGACTCTGAATCGATTTTTGATAAGCATTGAGATAGCACGGCTACGTATCCCGCAATCTCGTGTAAAAGAGTAATGCAAATCTTGCATTATTTGTGCACATCATTCATAGGTACGGGACGTGTTGTACGACACGCGGCGTAAATAACAAAAAAAATAATAATAACGAAACAAATAAAATACAATATTAACACTCGACCAAATCATAAGCAACAGACTCACTCTCAATACAATAATAAAGATAATATCAAGAATTTCAATAATGATAATGATAATAATAATATTATTAATAATAATATAATAATGCTCACTATGCTTTATTTAAATATCCATATAACGTACCAGGCGATAACGAAGAAAAAAGATTTTCTACGTTCTTCTTGACAGCATTCTTGTGAAGAAATAAAAAATTTTTTGTACAATCTCTAAACGACGGTTCCGAAATTATTTTACTTATTTTAAATGAATTGAAAAATAAATGCAAAATATTTTCTAATCGTGTGAATAGTTTCTTATAATATTAATGTAACTTATCAATTTATATGGACAAAAGGGAGGTCTTCTTTCGTTAACGCCTCGTACAATAATAACGTCTCGTTCGAGATATCGCATTATATATTTAATTAAATTATGTACAATTCAATGTGCTAGCCTAGCTAGAAAGTCTCTTCTTTATTTGTTTCTTCTCTCGCTTGTACCGCTTAGAATCTCGAACAACATACACACATACTAAATTCCCTGTATTCTTCCGAATTTGCATCGCGTAACGCGCGGTTATGACAATTCAATAAGCATTAGAGCGACTGCTTTTCCTCTCTGTTGTATCACAAGATAATCAATTACTCGAGTACTAGCTAATTAGTTTACACATTTGCGCTCACTTCCCGGTTAACTAGTCGATACCAATTTTATTTCTTAGATCTTTCTTATTAAATCATACGGGGTAATACGTTTCTCTTGTTACACTCAACCACACATTTACGTATATCCTGTGCCGATAAATACGCGTAATCAGGCAGCACGTGCATGCAATTTTGCGTTAGATATTCAGCGCTACATGCACATACATTGCACCATCGAAGTCAGACGTAGACGTACTCACAATGCATCCGGGGTCACTTATCCCATTCGACCGCATGAAACATTTCCTTTTTATTTTTTATTTAATAGCTCGGACTTTTTAAAACTATGGTTATGGAAACTAATAAGTTCCTATGTGGATTAAAGTTACTATAGTCGATGCGCGAGAAACAATAGTAGTTCATTTGTTCATGTATCAATCATCGCGATAAAATGCTTGATGCGGTAAGATAAAATGAATAGTAATTTCCACGCGAGATTTCCCTACGTATCGACAATATAGGAACAACGTGGCTGCTCCAGGGAGACATTGGTTATATTATGCTGCAAATTATGTACAAAAGGATGCAGGGTCGTAGCTGTCCACCGTTTCATTAATAATATTCTAGAATAAAACAAAATGTAAATCGTATGATACGAATATACATTAATTTTCAAGAAAAAAGATTTATCATTTTAGGATATACTTTTAGCCCTTCGTAATGATAAAGAACAAAAAAAGGTATGTGAAGAGGAGATAAAAATGTATTGAGGCATTTGATATGAAAAATATTATAATATTATATATATATATATAATTTTATTTATATTATAATATTATAATATTATAAATATTAGAAATATATACGGATGTGTAAAAATTTTTTTAGTTACGATTATTTCTCTGTAGGTATCAACCACAATAATCGTACTATTTTAATCACATGCAAATTATGCTGTACGAATATCTTGGTGTTATTCTATTAATTCTTATTTTCTAAGAATATTTCATAAAGCCTGCATAATTTATACGCAATCAACATGGATTTCTAATTTTCTTCTCCCTTCAAGACCAGTGAAGAATAATTTAAGTATTAGTAATCTTACGAACTATGATACAGAGATTTTTTTTTTTGAACGTGAAAATATGTTTCTTTTAATGTTAAACTTTGAGTTCTTTGCAAGCCTTTCTTCTATGAATACGTTCGGAAAAAGTCCGAAAATAAGTGAATGACGCATAGAAGAAGTAACAATAAATAAATACACAAGCACATACTCCAATCCTATTTTTAATCAACCAGTCGACCGATTTCACGTGAAACAGTGTGCAGCCAAGACAAGATTAATTAATTCGTTATTTAACAAATTAATTACTTAGGTCGTTGATTTCTACATCTTAAACTAGAGATTCGGTTTTATCTCACCCGCTGAGGTGGCCTCTCATCCGCACTGTTAGCATCATTATTAATATCTTATTATTAATAATCACGTGCATGAGAGTCCCTCGGAGCGCGTCCAGTCTATTAAATCGGGCGCACGGCGCTATATATGCAGAAAATTTTGGCTTTTCTTCAACTTCGAAGTCGTGCAGTGACAGTACTTGCGTATCCGCAGATCGAAAGCGAGCGAGAACGAATTGTTTCCGCTCAGCTTCAGGAAGGAAAGAACTTTTCTCTTTCGTGCTTCTCGACGAAGCTCTTCTTCCGACAGTCAAACCAACGAATGTTATGCACAAACCAACAGCAAACGCGTAAATAATTTAAGTACGTAATTGACCTGCGAAAGAAGGATACGATCTCTCGCTCCTCCCAGGCGGCAATCCAACCATCGGCATTGCGGAATCAGCGGAACGCACCATGTGTCCTACTGGAAGTGAAGTCCCTCCCCCCCTCGACCCCGCCAAGTCACAAAGTGTGACAGCGTCGTGACGTAGCGCGCGGGGTCCAAGGCGGAAAAAGCCCTTTAGAAGTTCTGCTCGCCGTACATCCCGGGGAACCGGACAGCGTGTGCTCCGAGCTCGGCGGGCGAGAACTCGTCCTATGTGGCCAAGTGAGCGAACTGGCCGGGGTGGGGCGCGAACTGGTAAGGGTGCCCGTACGGCGACATGTGGTACGGCACGATGTTCATGCTCGCCATCTTGTGCTCCTTCTTCCACTTCATACGCCGATTCTGGAACCAGATCTTTATCTGACGTTCCGTGAGACAGAGAGCATGCGCGATCTCGATGCGACGCCGCCTTGTCAGGTAGCGATTGAAGTGAAACTCTTTCTCCAGCTCCAGCGTCTGGTACCTGGTGTAGGAGGTCCTTTGTCGTTTCGTCTCACCGTTCGCGTTCACCGTGCCTAGAAACCAAGAGTTTTCATCATTTCACCGAGAAGAATGTGCAAACGTAGACATATCGTCTTTATAGATAAATGTAATCTTTGTAGAAAGAAACTGCCCCAAACTGATAAAGACAAATCGTTACATTCATTTCTCGCAAACGCGTGTCAAATGTATCTTTAAATAATACTTGATATGTACAAAGTGTAATGTTTGAGATAAATCATGTTTTTTTAAACCGTGGATCTTATCGGACAGACCGCGAGTGGAAAAGTGCGAAAGAGATTGAATAAAAAGCACAGGCGATGCGTATATGTTACTAAAGGTCCAAGCGCGTGCAACGCGTGACGACCTCGTTAATTATTTCAACGAGTTGCGGTTAATGCCTGCGCCAGTGCTACTAGATTGCGAGCTGGTCAACTTGGCAGCTGTTTTACCTATTTGCTTTGCACGCCTCGGCCATAAATAATTTTGCAACGCTATTATTACGATACTCCGCCTGTTACACCTCTGAAACCTTACCTCTGCAAAAATTACCTTTGACTACACCGAACAACGCCAGAAATGAGTTTTGACTTAGTCTCAATGTCACTTACTGTTAGTATATGATATAATCGCCGCATGAATCTTCATTATATATATCGATACAATCTTAATTTGATATAATTTTATATCGTTGTGTAGATTATTTTTAAATCTGAGATGGTAATTTAACATAATTACGTAACATATTTCGTCAAATATACAAAAACACATTATCATTCTAAAAATTAAAAAATAAGCTAGTAAATATATCTTATGTGAGTATATCGCAATAACGTGAGAAATAACGTTTTTCTTAAATTTTATTGATGCAAATGGTCCTTCATTGCATTCTAATCTTATTTTTAGAAATATTTGTATAATTTCCGTATAGCATTCGTATCATATTTCGATGTAGTCATACTAATAATTTCTACCCTTCTTTCGCAGCACTAGGCTTCGGTTCGTTGTTTTAGCAGGTGTTGTACGCGTGCAAAGGTGCCATTTGTTCGTACGTTTTCAGGTTCATTGTGAGCATGGGTCATTGCGGATATTAAAGAGCCAGCTCATTTACAGCTATAATAGATAGCTATTAATAGCGTGAAACAAGAGGAAGAAATTGACGAAAATAGCCCAAGTAAAAAGACGTAACTAAATAGGAAGTAGTAATAATCACGGAATAAATAAATCATTTAAATCTGCCGACTCGTCCTTGTTTATGCACAAGAGAAGAAAATGCAATAAAATGTATGATAAGTCGAAGAAGAAGAGAAAAAGAAAAAGAACGAGAACACGAATTAAGAATGTTCTCGCATATACGAATAAATATTTCCCATTGTTGTCCGAAAGTAGCTCTTTTGCATGTGTCATTATCCCGTATTTCGAGCGTTTACGCATAACATTGATAACAGTACGTTTAAAGATTCGTTCCACAGCTCTGAACAGCACGAGCTGGGCACTTTCACGAGAGTGAAAAGCGTTTTCGCAGAGGACGGCCAACCAGCGAGCGTTGAACAACGAAGCTCCTACCGGGCTTAATGACAGGACCCTTCGTCCGGTGTTATCGCTTTCCTCCCGATGTAACACGTCGCTGGGTCGTGTGGCCTGACTTTTTAATAAATAGTGTTCTGGTTGTCTGGACACGAACTCGTTCGCTCTGCATATCGTTTATCCAGCGCACATACCCGTTTTGTAACAGACAAACGGAATTTCTTTTTCGGTCACTCGCATTATTATATAGAATACTCCTGTTCGCTAACTAAAAATAATCTACCAATGACAAAAATTCTGCTAAACTTTCAGTTTCTTTACTTTTTTTTTTAATTTTTTAATTAATTCTCATATTTTTCATTAACTAAATTAATTTATCACGCGCTTATCGAAATTCATGAATTTCTTTTTATTGTCTCATTATACATATATTTGCATTCCGGTAACCTTTTCAACATAACCACATATATCTCTTTCTCTTTCTTTTGCTTTGTTAAATAAAATTATAAAATATGAAACTGTAAGAAAATAAAAGTTTTTTAAAACATGCTTCTCCATCTTTTCTGGTGATAAATTGTACTATTGGTATCTTGCCGATATTCATACAATATACATTGATATGTAAAGGAATGTACTCGGTGAAGGCTAGTGAGAAAGCTCTCAACGATGCTCATACACGATTGAAATATGTTTTCTTAGGCGCGCCATGTTAATTCCAACTAATACCACAAGAGAGATCTCGATACGCTCACAACGCTTTGCTTGATGTCTATAACAGGTTCGGAGTTTTTATCATCCCTAAAGAACATGCGCAGGAGTAATCATAGTCAATGAAAGTAATCTCACAATGATATAATTGTATGTATGTGTGTGTGTGTGTGTGTGTTGTGTGTGTTAAATTATTGAATATTATTTTATCTTTGATGTACTTGTGATTTATTATTTTTAGTGATATCTTTTGATGCATTAAAGTACCGCGGTAATCGCTGACCCGATTAAATTTCACGCATGTCAGGCACACCTGTTTAATTAGCATTTAGATTCTATCTGGCGCGATCTCAGTAGTTATTCTCGCACTATAAATTCTAAAGCATCGAGGGGAGTACAAGCCAATATGTTATTGTAACTTGAATTTCCGTAATCATACGCATGACTTGCGTTATATATCTCTCAGTAATAAATTTCGTAATCGCATTGAATCTTAAACAGATGCAATGGGAGCACTTCGCACATTCATTTGTCAATTCATTCCCTGTGAGGACGCGGAAGATTCTCTTTTATAATTTCAAAATTTTACTTTCTTCGAAAAATAATTGATCGGAAAAACAAGGTACAATTATTACAAACGTATTACTTACATAAGCAAAAGAGTAAGCAATGAATTATGTAGAAAATTGATTAAGCAACATTATTCATATATATTTATTTCGAAACCTTATAAAATTATCTGGTTAGCGAAAATTATTTATGTTGTTAGCCAATCAATAACACTATGTCACTCATAGTGTTTGCTGCAGTATAATTATGCGTTATAATTATCAATCAATAATAATTAAATCGCTTTTTTAAATATGCAAATTTATGTATAATAAACTAGAAGAAAAAATACATAGAAAGATATATTGTTATTTATTTTTTGTGTTCACTTATAAACGTTTTATCTAATAATTACTTAACGTTTTAATCCAAACAGTAGAGAAGTCACCGTTGCTATAATGTAGTGAAACGTAGATTTTTTTACAAGTTCTCCGTAAATTTGGTTTGGTTAAAAGCGGACAAATCAGAAGATTCTGATTATATCAATCAAAATTCCGGTAATCTACACTAGAATTTTAGTAAATTTAATCAGAAAATTCTTCTTGAGATAATCTCTGTCTGATTGATGAATTCTGATTGATTTAATCAGAATCTTCCAGTTTGTTCATTTTCAATCAAACCACTTTTCTCAATATATATAACGGTGATTAAGTTAACTCGGTACACGATTTCTCGAGTTTCTCATCGAGACGCACAAGCTTTAACGAACGGATAAAGATTGAAATAAAAACGTTTAGCATGTCTATCACGCAATGAGAGATGTTCGGGCCGAAGAGGTGCGCATAGCTGTCGTCGTTGTAAGACTGAGGCGGGCTAAGCGCAGGGCCATGTCGTGTCACCCATCTCGATGTCACCTCGTGTCGTCTAGCCTTTTCGTGCCTCGCTCTTAATAGAACGCGGAGTGCGCGTGTATTTGCACCGAACTCTGTACGAAACGTGTCACCGACTGCCAGTCTGACGACTGCTCTGTCTGCTTGACTGACAGATCGGCTGGTTAAGGATGAATAACACGTGACTGGGATAAAATCCCGCGCGACTCCATAGCGTGTTCTCGGTATGCCTGATTTTGATCTTAGTTTTTAATACACACTCTGACTTGAGCTCTCCTTTGTTGTGACTCCTTCGGTTTCTTGCAGAACGCATAAGTTTTATTACATACGTTAAATGTATATCTTTTTTACAATAGCTATACATGATGGAAAAAAAATGTGCAGGAAAAAGTTTTTGTTAATTAAAGCGTAAACACTATTGAAAATATATAATTATTATTAAATATTTGGAAATTGTGTATATATATATATATATAAATTATTAAATATGTATATATTTAAAAAAATTAAGATGTATATAAGATTATCATAAATTTAAAAGTTTTATTTTTATAATAATTAGATTTAATCAGAAAAATTGATATTGATATACTTAACTAGTAATATTCTGTTATAATTATAAAAGGATACAATTATTATTAAGTATAATTATAATTAAAAAATATAAAAAGGAAATATTATATTTTTTTGCAAGTAAGTATTAATTGAAGTATATAGTGTATACACACAGAAGAAATTTTGTTCAAAATATATTAATAATAACATTTTACATTCGAAATTTTACATTTAGAATGTCTAAACTATTATTTTATATATAATTCGAATAAAGAAATATACTGTTTAATTTTATTGCTTGTTTGCTTGCCTGTAAAATAGAATATGGGATATCGAATACTTTGCCAATTGTGCAGATCAGAAGTATTACGTATCACTATTCATAGATAGATTGTAGATTAGGTGCTGAGAAAAAAATCAAAATATCTCGCGATCGCAGCCACGTTGTATGGTGCATTCCGCGAGTGCGAGTAGATAGGTATGCGATGTGCATTTGTATACACGTATAGGTATAAGTTCAGTATGTCGGTCGGGAGCAAGTTCCACGAAAGTATATATAGAACTCTTGTACTACCCCCAACCCCCAGCATATATCTGAATGGTTATCTGATACGAGAGCTCAAGTACGGCCGTATCAATTCTTTCCATCTCTACAATCGATTTAAGAATCCAAAGAAACCAATAAAAATCTATAAGTTTCGCGACGTAATGAACAGCGAGAATTGTTTTAAATCTCGTTACCATTTGGATATATCAAACGCCAATTGCTCACGGTGTTAATGAATCATGTTTAAGTGATTTTAATC